ACGCCCTTAAAATTCACCTCAATCCCTCTAGAATGATTATTTCTTTGCAAATAGAGATATTCAGGTCATCTGGTGGACAATCCTGCACCTTTTCATATTGCAAAACCCAAAATAATGCAGTATCATGTATTTCCAGTGTTGTGCAGCTGTGGCATATACTGATACACGAATATGGTTCAAAAATATAACATACAGGTAGAATAAAGAGGTTCAGTCTACCTATGGCTACGAGAAAAGCTCTGGAGGACGAGATCTGAATGCCATCCCAATTAAAAAAGCAATCTTTGGCAATATTACACCACCTGAGAAACGTTCAAATTGTTTTTTTAAATTTTCAATGCAGATGCTCTCCCTACAAATTCACCTAAAGCAGTCTAGCACGATCAGTTCTTCACAAATAGAGATATTTAAGTCATTCGGTGAGAATCCCTGCCTTGTTTCATGTCATAGAAGAGCAAAATATCACAATTTCACTTATTTCCAACGTCATGCAGCCCTGTCATGCAGTGACACACAATATACAGCTGGCTTTCTGGCACAAGATGGTTTAATTTAGCAGCAAAAAAGCTCTGAATGACGAGTGAAAAGCCAAATCTGAATGCCATCCAAAAGCAAATGCCTTAACCAGTGTTGCACCACCTGAGAAAGGTTTCAAACTGGATTTCTTGTTAATATTTTTCATTTTCAATGCAGATACACGCCCTTAAATTTCCCCCAATGCCTCTAGAATGATTATTTCTTTCTAAATAGAGATATTCAGGTCATCTGGTGAACAATCCTGCATCTTTTCATATTGCAAAATCCAAAATGTGGCAGTATCATGTATTTCCAGTGTTGTAGCGTATACTGACACACAAACATAACATACAGGTAGAATAAAGAGGTTCAGTCCACACCTATGGCTACCAAACAAGCTCTGTAGGACGAGGTCTGAATGCCATCCCATGTAAAAAGGCCATTTTGTAAACCTTTGGCAGTGTTACACGACCGAACAAAGGTTCCAGTTGTATTTTTCTTTTCTCAATGCCGATGCTCTC